CGGTATTGACAAGGATGTCACGAGCTCGGATGAGAAGGAAAGGAGTTTCGATGTTTCAGGTAAGTTGGTATTGTCTTCAGCATCACCTGAGATCGGTGTTTCGCGGAAAAGGCCTTGCATCCTGGTTAAGGATTCTTGATTTCTTTTCAGCGTTAGTACGGCCGGTGTTTTGGATGTACGGACCTGTTGTTTGTTATGGTAGGTTGTGGGAGCGTGTCCCACAGGAAGATTGTATAAGTGTGGCATGTAGTCACTTGATTGATTAAAGATTTAAACCAAGTATGAAGAATTTGGTGGTATCATTAATTTGAGAACTTATGCCTGAATGGCAGTCGGTTTATTGAGTTGTGGACTATGGATGGTTTCTCCAGTTATGACGGTTGATCTTGTGTGTTACGGAAAAAAAGGGGTTATTATGGACCCATGAAAGGTCATTAGCCTAGTTGGTGCAATTAGAAATCGACTTGAGGCATGTGGATGGATTTAGTGTGAATATGGGCTCTATATCAGGTTAGATGTGTTCAATTCAGCAATGCACTGCTTATGGGAGAGTAGTCGGGGTGTTATTTTGTCGTCAGCTATTCCATGCTATGATGCATTGCGCTGTGTGAGTTGAGAGATGGCTTGGTAAATTGCTTATGTGTCAAGTTTCCGCATTGAGATGATGTTATTCGAGCAAAATGGCTCTTGAGATTCAAATCGTATATCGCACTTCAGTTGTGCTTGAGTTTTGTAGCTTATAGCGCGATATGTCCCCTCAGGGATGGTATTATGCACTTAGCGTGCCCGTGACCGAATTTCGGTATTTTATTGTAATAAGCAATTTAGCTCGATGTGCATCTCCTTATGTGAGTTCTATGTGTGAATCGGGTGGCACACTGCCATGGGTATGTTATTTGGATCAGATAACATGCCGCCATGGTTGTGTTGTGTGGATCGGGTGGCATGCCCCCATGGTTACGCTGTTTGGATCGGGTTGCGCGCCGCAATAATGTGATGTTCAATAAAGTTCCCCATATATGTTATTATATGTTTTGTTTCCTATTTTCTGAGGAAAACTCGTATTAGCTGTGAGCCCGCATCGCATGTATGATTCGCGAGCGGGGTGACTGTTTAGTATGTTGCCCGCCTCGCATGTTTGATTCGCGAGCGGGGTAATCAAATTTCCTTTTCGGAGTTCGTTTTTCTTTCGTACCGCATTCGAATTGGTAGCCTATTGGCACATTGTGGCATCATATGAGACTTTGGATCATGTCCGGGGTGGCTTGTAGCCGGAGTAGTTCGTACTGGGTGAGACGAAATCATTGAATTTAGGATCAGTGCAATCTGATTATGTGAAGTACATTAAGAAGTTAAGACCAATATTTGGTTCATAATGAGGTGAGGGTTCTTGTCAGGAGTATAGACCCGATGATTTGTTGATTCGGCAGTTGGTTATGAATTTCTACGCCTATCTTCCATCGTGGTGGTATTGTAAGAGTTAGAGTAAGAAATATGTATATCCTGAGGTGCGTTGTGAGCATCAGATTCGTGGAATTTCGAGTACTATGCTCACAGAATGTTATTGTGGTCCTGTGAGTAAAATGGTACAAGGGGTGAATTCAACTAAGGTATGTAGTCATGTTCTGGTACATTGCGTAGTTATTTATACGGTGTTCTTGCATTGGGAGCAGGCCTGGTAAAGAATTTCGGATGTTGAAACTGGGCTCTAAGGCTTATTTGTTTGAATAAAAGAGAATATCTTTAGATTTGCTCGAGCCAATGTGCTCAACTGAGTTGTGGTGGCACAGGTAGGTGCATAAGGTGCTTAACTACGATTTCAGACGACTCCAGCGCGGTTCTTAGCACGTTCGAGGATAAACGTATGTTTAATTGGGAGAGAATGAAACGACCCGACCGATCGATTTGAGCTTTGGCCCGTTCTTCGGCAATTTGAGGCCATGAACAACTTCACTTCAGGTATTATAACTTGTACGCATCATCGGAATTGGACTTCGGGAATTTCAGAGTTCATTTGGAAAGAAAATTCTCATTTTAGAAGCCTTAAATTGAAAGAATTAGCTAAGATTAGATTTGTAAGTAAATGACCTCGGAATTAGGATTCGAAGGTTCCAGCAGGTTCGTATGATGATTTCAGACTTGGGCGTATGTCTGGGTCGGGTTTTGGATAACCTGGGAACGTTTTGGCGCGTATTGTGGAAGTTAGCATTTTGGAAGAAATTTCAAAAGTTTGGGTCGAAGCGCATTTCAGTGTTATCGATGTCCGTTGGGATTCTGAGTCTGGGAATAGCTCCGTATGGTGATTCTGGAGTTGGGAGCGTGATCGGAAGTGAATTTGGAGGTCCGTAGGTCATTTTGAAGTCATTTGGCTAAAGATAGAAATTTGAAGGTTTTTGAGAAGTTTGACAGGAAGTGAACTTTTTGATATCGGGGTCGGATTCCGATTCCGGAAGTTGGAGTAGGTCTGTAGTATCAAACATGACTTGTGTGCAAAATTTGGGGTCAATCGGACGTAATTTGATAGGTTTAAATATCGAAAGTTGAAGTTTGAAATTCTAAAGTTCATAAAGCTTGGATTGGAGGTTGATTTATGATTTAGCATTGTTTGATATGATTTAAGGCCTCGAGCAAGTCCGTAATGTGTTTTGGGACTGGTTGGTATAATTGGTTGGGGTCTCAAGGTCCTCGGGTGGATTCCGGGTGGTTAACGGATCGAAAATGGAATTTTTGGAAGGCTGAACTTGTTGGTTGCTGTCATAACCGCACTTGCGAGGATTGGGCCGCAGGTGCGGAGCCGCAGAAGCGGCCAGAAGAGCCGCATATGCGGTTTTGGACTGGAAGTGAAGGGACCGCAGATGTGGGACCACACCTGCAGTGGAGAAGACGCGGAAGCGGAAAAGGAGCAGCCTGAGAAGGACCGCGGAAGCGGAAAAGGAGCAGCCTGAGAAGGACCGCAGATGCGGTAGTGGGGCCGCACCTGCGGAACCGCAAAAGCGGTCGAGGGACCGCAGGTGCGGAAAGTGTTGGAGGCAGAGAGGTGTTTTGAAAATCGGGATTTGGCCATTTTCTCTCATATTTTCTTGGCTTGGGCGACTTTTGGGAGAGCTTCAAATGGGATTTTTCATCATCAACGATAAGGTAAGCTAATTCCATCCATCTTGAGTTAAATACATCGATTATGTATGGATTTTAGCATGTAAATTGGTAGAAATTTGGGGTTTTGGTAGAAAGACCTAGAAATTTATATTCTTGGAATTTGACAACGATTTTGGGTATGGAATTGCGAGTAAATTATATATTTGAGTTCGTGGAATTATGGGTAAGCTTAATCTTCAAAAATTTTCAGAATCCGGGCACGTGGGCCCGAGGGCAATTTTGTTAACTTTTCGATTGGGGTTAGAAATTGTTATAAATTGGATTGTAATGATTAATTGAGCGTATATTAATGGATTTGCATAATTATTGACTAGTTTTGGAGCGTTGTGCATCAATTTGAGTCTTCAGAAGAGTGTGGAATGCCGGTTATGGATCTTTGGAGCAAGGTGAGTCTCCTTTCTAACCTTGTAAGAGGGAATTGTCCCCGGAGGTGAGTTAATTGGTTATGTTCTCCTATTTGTGGGGGCTACGTATGCACGAGGTGACGAGAGTCCGTGCGTAGATACTATTATGCTATTGTCCGGGTAGTTTAGGACCCAAGAGCATGCTATACTTGGATTATTTGTGAACTTATTGACAGCTTGAATTGCTTAAATCACATTGAATTAGTAAATGAATTTCTAAACTGATTAAACTTCATTTTTCTTAAATGGTTAAAAGAGGATTGGCTTTCTTTGAAAAATTTCTCCGTGTGGACTTCTTGGTTGTCAGTCTGTATGTGTTTATTTTGGAGTGGGCCGAACGCCTCGGCAAATTAAATAGATGCATCTATGGTTCGCGTCGTTCGACCCTCGGCAGTGCACAGTTTAAATATTGTTGGATCGGGTCGTTCGACCTTGGCATGATTTGCGCATGCTTGTATTGCTTGCCTTGAAACTCATTGAAGTCGTTGTTGCCTTCTCCCCGGATTATGAAAATATGTTTAAATGATGAAGAGAAATTTGGAAATTTTCTATAAAAGAAAGAATTGCTTACTTACTTCATTCCATTGAATTATAATCATATTTATAAAAATCCTAGATTTACTATATTATCGATATAACATTATTGGACCACTAGTAAGTGTCGAAGTCGACCTCTCGTCTCTACTTCTTCGAGATTAGACGGGATACTCATTGGGTACACGTTGTTTTCGTACTCATACTACACTTGTTGTGCATTTTTGTTGCACAGGTTCATATGTGGCTAGTGGCCTAGTGGCATAGCGGCTTTGGTTGATACAGAGACTTAGGCGAGCTGCATTCCTCAAGGCGTCCCGCAACCAGTACAGTCTCTTTCAGTGTATTGTAATTACTTTATGTCCAATTTGCATTCCGGACAGTTGTTGTGCTTTATTCGATTCCTTAGTAATTGCTCATGCACTTATGATACTGGGTTCTGGGATAATCACGGGATTTTATTTCAGTAGTTAAATTTTGTAAAGACATCCTCATTTATTCAGTGGAGATTATCAATTATTATTTATTTTTTTAAAGGAAATTATTTCAAAATAATTAGATAAAATGAGAATTTATTAATACTTCCGCAGTGGCTTGCCTGACAGTGGTGTCCGACGCCATTACGACCCTTAGTGGATTTTGGGTCATGACATCAAGAGCCCGTTTGGATGGGCTTGTTTTAAGTGACTTCTAAGCCAAAAGCCATAAGTTAGGAATTTTAGCTTTTGGCTTTTGGCTTATTTTTATCATTTTAGCTTAAAAATAAGTGCTTAAAAGTACTTTTTTACTTTGTCCAAATGCTACAAAATAATTTAAAAGCAATTTTGGTTTAAACTAACTCAAAATAAGCCAATCCAAACGGGTTCCAATTCAATTCAAAATCCTCATCTATAGATTCAAATACTTATGGACTTGGTATTTTGGAACAGAGCTGCAGTGGCAAAACACCTCTGGGCAGTGGCTAAAAAGAAGGACTACTTATGGATCAAATGGATCCATACTTTCTACATAAAGCATCACACACTCGAACATATGCCAATACCCAAGAATGCAGCTTGGGTAGTCAGGAAAATTTTGGAGTCAAGGAAGCTTATTGGGGATGTTCAAGGTATTCAAGGAAACCTGTTGAATAGGTTGGATCAATTACAGAATGACAACTCTTTTAGTATTAGGAAACTTTACAGGCTACAATTCCCCCAACTGCCAAAGGTTCCATGGAAAGGCATAGTATTGCAGCCAAGATTGCATCACAGATTCAACTTCATTATGTGGTTAGCATTACAGAGAAAATTAGCTACAGTTGACAGGCTACTGAAGTTTGGTGTTCAAATAAATCAACAATGTGCATTCTGTAAGCTAGCTGGTGAAACATTCGACCATTTATTCTTTGAATGCTATGTGACAAAGGAAGTGTGGTCGAGACTCTTGATATGGTTAGGACATTGCAGACCTATTCAAGATTGGCAACGAGAGGTGGAATGGATAAGTCATTATGCCACAAGAAAAAGTGGACAATGGGAAATTGTTACCTGTGTCTTTGGCATGATGGTTTACACTATATGGAGGGATAGGAACAAAGTTCGATTCCAGGGAGGTGCAGTAAATGTGAACAGCATATGCAGGGAAATAACAATTCATATACATACGAGAGGGCAGGAAATACAACACTGGCAAGGAGCACTTTCAACACTCAACAGATACCCATAAAGGATAGATAAGTTCTTGATGTATAGTTAGCCTTGATGTATAGTTAGCCTTGATGTATTTCAATTAGCTGTTAGTCTAGTTAGTTACTTAGACTTCAGTGGTGAATTTACTGAATCTATAGATAGAAGACATGTAATGAGGAGTAGATGGTCTGCGTCTACATGATCTGTAAATTTCTTTGGAATGAAATAGAGAAACAGCAAAACAAATACTTATCTTTTAATTCAAATTTAATTTTATTACATAGTCTAACAGATATTATCTCAAAATTATCAAGTGAATTTTTATTAGCTTGCCACTTAGCATTATATATATATATATATAGGATATTTTTGCTAATTCTATTATATTTTATTCTAAATATTATTGGACTTTACCATAAATCTTATTAGATTTTGTCTTAAAAGTGCCATGTGGCTTAATATTGTTGTCCACTACTCTATTTTATATATCATAAATATATATTTTTCTTACAATTAAACTCCAGATATACCAAAAAAATTAATAACAGCTTTTGTTATTTGCAAAAACATCGCATAAAAGTGCATAGGAAGTTTTGAAGATAAGCAATGAGAATTAATCCATAGTAAAGACGAAGTGCAACTCAATTCGACATCCTTTTTAAATATGCTTACCATTTTAAGTCATGTTCTTTTGAGGCATACACTAATGAGAAAATGACTCAGAAATCAGCACCACCTTTCTTAGCTTTCTTAGTCAAAGATATGACTACATTTAAATAGCAAAACATTTGAAAACAAAAAGAATATCAATAAAGTTCTAAGTACAACAAAGAAAAAATTGAATGAAAATTTAGAATAATAACATATAAAGGTTACAAATTTTTTCAAAGTATCATAAATAAGAAAGAAAAAGAGAATACACAAATGGGAAAGGCAATACATAAGAGTTTGCACAAATTTTAGATAGATCTGGCGTGCTTTCTCATTTCCAGAAAGAAGAGTATATATACATGAGTTAAAGCTCATACTCCCTAAAATCTCTCCTAAGAATATTCTCAAAATATCATATTCCTATAATATCTTCTAGAATACCACATCTCTAACAAATATAGATACACAATATACAGCTACTATATTTACACATTTACAAATTTTGCTTAATAAAAAGAGATCCAGCTCTCTAGATTCAACAATGAAGCACAAATCAAAATTATAAGGCCGGCTAAATTTCTTTTTATAGAATCATAATGCTCCTTTCTTCCTCGTTAGTTTAGCTCATCAAATGTGGATACATAGAGGAAACACATGAACTTAATTGTCTAATAAAAAATCTACCATGATTAAACTAAAGTATGTCATATAATAGATAAATTATCAATGCAAAGCAAATTAAAACAAAGAGAAGAAAAAAATACACGCCTTTCATTCCTTTCTGTAGTATTATTTATACAAGTGCATTGATGTGCATTTGAAATTTAAATACGCTTTGCCATATAATATTACTAGTTGGAAGAGAAGCCCTGGTTGTGCCCGGGCCCAATTTCCACAAAATAGCTTGTTAAATTGATAGTGTTTTGAAACCTGACATCTAAACTCTGCTCACTTTGGAAGTTCTTCATTTCTATTGAGGATTTTTATATGCTATATAAATGTGTTCAACTATGATCTATGTTTAAGTGTGTAAGTGAAAACAAGAGAAAGTTATATAAATTTCCAAGTGTTTAATTTATGTACTCTTGATTTAAAAATATGTTACTGTAAAAATTCTTTACGCCAACAAATATATGATATGAAAACTTTAAACAAATTACATATAGAAAAGGATTTTTTTTTTCAAAAAACTATACACCTAGCAAGTTGTTCATTTGATAGAGATTAATGTGACATCTATGGTTGTAATTGCAGTAAGTACAAATTGAAGGAGACAAAACGTAAAACAGAAAATTGAATTTTCCTTCATTTTGTTTTTCCTTTAATTGCATTCTTTCATTTTCTTGTTTCTTTTCCTGGAAGAAGAAACAAGAAAGGACCATGCATGTATACACCAATTCAGTTGAGCTGAATTATCAACATTAGGACAAGAAAAACAAAAAAATGTATATAATATATGAAAAAAAAAGCTTTACAGTAACATGAAGGAATGAAAGCACGGCCAAACTAACTCTGAGTTTTTCAATCCATAACATCTACTTTGCAGTAGGAAAATACAGTCATTAGAGTAACAAGAAGAATGACTCCTTCTTTCAGAAGGATGAACACTCATCATCCTTGGATATAACCACATTGCCTTCTTATTCTTCAGTTGTACTACCTATGCACTAAAAGATCCCATTTTGTATTTTTCTCTTTAATCACTTTTAGTTCAAGAGCTTCAAAATATAATGGAAGAAATAAAAAAGATGGATATAATAATGAATATAAGAACGATCGCAAAAGATTTGCACGTAGTGGTTCAATCTCTGGCAAATCCAATTCTAGAGCTGCGGGAAATAGAACATCTTTTCAAGATGATCCCAAGCCAGAACAACTACAGCTGAAACATGGAAGAATTGTTTGAGAATGTGCTCTTGTCACAGTTAATCTACATGAATGCCAGAAACACCCATAAGACAAAAGTGGGCTTTGCCAGCAGGACATACTTAGCTTGAAAAAGCATACCACAACCATGGTTGTCTTGACCATTTTATCCTACACATATGAAAGGAACAAGCCGGACATCTACCCTATACCTTGAATAGAATAAGCAAATAAAATAACAAGACATGTAATGATAAAAGGTTATAATGTAATTAACAAGGAAAAAAATTCTGCTCCTAAATTATTCATATCATGTAATTAAGAACCAAAAAAGTTCTGGTCCCAGTTTATTTGATATCTTAAGCAAAGTACAGACATATAATATTACATAACAGAAACTATGTATGAACCAATAAATACAATAATGTTAAATGTATAAAAAACTATTGGTACTGCAATAATATTTTCTTATTCCAGCGCTTGTCCGTCAACACAAGTCAACATAAGATTTGACCCTCTATGGCGATCATCGTTTGTCGAGGTGAAGTGGAGACGGAATTTCAGCAGCAAAACGATGTTGATTATCACTCAAATTATCTATTTATAGTTCGATATCGTAGTGGTTTTGGCCGGTAAGGGCGTGACACACGCGTATCCTTGTAATATGATCCTTGTTACAATAAAATTTTCATCAGAAGTTTTGTCAAAATATTACACATTTCTGACAACTGCACCACATGGCTTTCAACTTCTCTAATGCTTGGTAGTTGTGAAGGCAGGCCTAATGAGAGATGATAATTTTAAGAATATCAAGAGGAAAATAAGTGACAAGAGTCTCCATACAAATGATTATGCCCATCCCCAATTGATTCCTTTTATCCCGCAAAGTCCCAGTTTGCATATACAACAAAATCGCAAATGACCAATAACATGAAATTCTAGGTAATTTAAATCTCAAGAATTTTCATCTCCATAGTGAGCTGCAACCAAGGTTATAGTGTCTACCCCAACAGATTGCAGTATGAAAATACCGAAGTATCAAGTAATTTAGAAACGTTAATCAATTTATATAGTTGACAACTGTACGTAAACATGTTAAACATACACGCACAGTCTTTGCATTATATCCATTGTTTATTCCACTCTATAGAACAAGTATAAGTGGACATACCTAGAGAACACTCACATCCAAGTAACTAAGTTCAGGACATTCTGTTGCTATGGCTATTATTTCAGCATCCCCAATTTGGTGGGAGCCACTTACATTGAAATGATGCAGAGAACAACCTTCAGTAATAGCCCCAAGTGCTTCATTCCCTACATTGGTAATCAAGTAGAGATTAATGACTTATTTGAGCGAAAATATCAGTAAACAGGTAGCTAAGTAGCGAGCACTTGATCAACAAAAAAGTTTAAACTATCTGCAGTGAAAGAATATACTGGTGAATATTAACGAAAGAGAAGTTGTGAAGGCAAGGACCAACTAAATATAATTATTTGTCGAACATCGCAATATGGAACATTTTCAAGGGACTCAGCCAGGAAGGTGTTAAAAGAAGATGAAAATTGTGCCTAGCAAACTTCATCTTCAATTGACAAGCAACCACTTGCAGCAGCAAAGGCAGCAATACAAACCTAATCATGTCCAAAAGGATAAATGCTTATTTCAAAGAGCATTCAAGGATAGATTTATATGACAATTGAAGAAGAAAGTAATGCAAGCAATGGAGAGGTTGTCCCCAATCTTATCAGCAGAACACTTGGTTAAGACACAAACTAAAACTAAGGTAACATTATTTGAAAAAGAAAAAGTCACATACTTATCACAAAACCAAAGGCTAAGATCTGTAAATTTTCTTACAATTCTCAGCAATAACTATAATTCTCTTATTTCCAATCTATCAAATGAGATGTGAAGACCGCTATTATCAAACAAAATAATTGAGTTCCAAAAGATATTGCACAAGCCAGATTTCACTAACAAAATATTTAGGGATAATTAACAACTGCTAGAAAAAAAATCGCTTTCCATCGGATACTAATAATGCACATGTCTCTACAGGAAACCCCATTCCACGGCTAAAGTGGTTCTCGGAAAAAATATAATAGAAAAGCTTGTCTAAAAGCTTGACCAGCTAATGGGTCAATTATAAGCATGAAAATATTTAAAAACATTATCAAGCAAACTAAAGAAAAGGATAGTTTTCAGATTTAACTCCAAAATCCAAATCAGATACTATTTTGAATTCATTAAGCAGTGATCTTACATGGTTTATAAAGTTAACCTTAGTTGTATAACTTTTACCTCAGCTGCAAATGAGCATTCGCGTCTTTCTGTTTTTATAATTATGTCCACCACAAGTAACCAAAATAGAAAATATTGATGCAAACTTAAATAATTCCGTAGCTGATTAGTAAATATGTTGGATTGATTTCAGACACGACGATAATATCTTTTGACTTTCAAAAATTAAGTTTAAAATGAATAAGTAAATGACCAAGCGTGATACAGAATTCCAA